CTGAATAATTTAATAATTCAATAACAATTCGCTTAGAAATAAAAATAACACGCGAAAATTATTGTTTAAAATTATATAATTATATATTAATACAATTATTTAAAAAACTTGAATTTATTCAATTATTTGTGCAATGTAAATCTGGCTTTGAAGTTGCATCCCAAACCCGATGCAATAAAAACAAACAATATGGTTATGGTTGCCAAATAAAACATGTGAGTAGTTTTATTGATTTAATTTTAGTTTTAAGTTTTAGGCATAAGTTAATTTAGGAATATTTAAAATTAAGCAAAAGTATTTTGATCCTTTAACTTGTCTTTACCAGGTCCTATTCATAATAAATGCATAATATCAAAATGTAATTAATATTAAATTTTACTGGCTCATTTATAATGTAAATTTTAAGAACAAACACTTTTTAAAATTTCCTTCAGATTTTGAGCAAAGAAAAAAATGGTACCACATATTAAACATTCCACTTGCAAAAAATCATTATAGATTGTGTGAAGATCATTTTGATCAAAAATCGTTTACAAACACTAAGACTCATTCAATATACTTTGCCATTGGCACCCTCAAAACCTCAATTAACACTACAGATAGTAGTACTAAGTAATATTGTTGTCACACCACCAAATAAATTACCTGTAAAAAGAAAGTTAAATTTTAATAATCAAAATTTCAATGATAGTTTTTCATCCAATTAAACAGAATTTCTGCCTAAAAAGCAACGATTATATAATGGATTCTTAAATCAAATTAATGAAACTCGTGTCAATAGTTTATCTTCTAGGAAAAAAAAAACTTTATTTTATTAATAGAAAACAGAAAAGTAACATTTGCAAATTAAAGAAGGCCCTAATTAATTCAAAACGTAACGTTAAAAATGCAGTCAAAATTTCAGAGTCAAAGTTTTTTCAAGAATTAAATTCAAAGCTCGATCCAGTAGGCATAAGCTTTTTAAAAAGTACTACATCTAATTTAAAAAAGATGAAGCCTTCTTGGTCAACATCTGATAAAGTCATGTCATTAGCTTTATATAGAAGGGCCCCAGAGCTTATAATTTTTTAAAACGTTTAATTGCTTTACCTAGTAAAACCACTTTGCAGTCACTTTTAAGATCAGTGCCATTTGAAACGGGCATTAATAAATGACTTTTTAAGAGGCTCAAGGAGAGGGTTGCTAAAATTGATAGGAACTGTGTGTTACTGTTTGACGAAATAGCTCTTACAGAACAATTAACTGTGGATGTAGCTAGTGATACAGTAGTAGGGTTCGTAGACCTTGGTAAAAATTTGGGAAGAAAATTATAAACGGCGGATCATGTACTGGCCTTTGTGATTAATGGCTTACGAAAAGCATGGAAGCAGCCTATGGCTTATAACTTCACTAAAGATCAGGTTAAAACTGAAGATTTGAAACTAATTCTTACAGAAGTAATTTTAGAGTTACAGAAAGTAGGATTAACTGTTATGGCAACTGTTTGTGATCTGGGGAATACAAACCGAACAGCACTGAAACAATTACGAGCAGATAATAATGTTCCAAAAACTTGGTCCTTATTTTTTTGTCAATAAAAAAAGGATAATTACTTTATATGATCCTTCCCACCTTTTGAAATGTTCAAGAAATGCTTTATTTATTTATTTTGAAAAATAATTTTAGATGTGCTAAATTTAATTATATTAAGCAAGCTTTTTATCTTGATAGGATTAAAAAATTGCACGCCTTACATAAAGTTAGAGAATCTTTTTTGGATATTAATAGAAATAGTAAATTAAAAATGAAAGTTTCAGCTGCTGCAAAAGTAATAAGTCACACCATGGCTGCTACCATCGAAAGTTTAATAGTGCCTAATAAATTACAATCTGAAGCTATCTATACTGCCGAATTTATTGAAGACATTGATAAGCTGTAACAGCCTTAACGGTAATAACCCAAGTGTCGTTAGTGGTAAATCTCTTAGGCAGTGTCCTTTAAAGAGATCTAAACATCTAGAATTTTGGAGTTCCATGTTGCCAAAAATAGAATATTGACAGTTTTTACCAAAAAATTGTAAACCTATGAGAAATGTGCTGCCTTTTAAGACCGGTTGGCTAATTACGATTAGGGGTGTTAAACTACTTATGAATGAATGTTGGAAAAAGGGATTCAAATTCATTAGAACCCGTGCTTTAAATCAAGATCCGGTTGAGAATATGTTTGGCACAATTCGACAGTATGGTGCAGCCAATACGCCTCCAAATTGTTACCAATTCATTTTAGCTTTAAAAACATCAATTTTAAATAGTTTAATTTCACCGAGGAATTTCAACTCCAATTGTGAAGCTGATGAAACAAGCATTTTAGATAATTTAAATTAATTTTTAAATGTTTCTACAGAACCAAAAGAATTAATATGTAATGATAATAATGAGCTAGAAATTTAAATTTAACCTTTTCTTATACAGAATTTTTAATTGATTCAGAATTTGAGAGTCAGGCCACTAGCTATGTCGCAGGGTTTGTTAAGAAAATCAATAGTTTTGACTGTAAAGAATGTCTGGCTAATTTGCAAACAGATATTTTAGAGGACCACCATACTTTTACTTATTTTAAAGAAAATGATGATAAAAGACGTCTGATTTATGTACAAAGAAATGTAATAGAATTTATTTCAAAGATTCATAAAATTATTTATACAGTTTTGCCACTTTTGGGCCATATTGAAATTATAATTCAGAAAATTGAATTTTTTTTGAAAGACCATGTTGATTTTAAATGGTTTACGTGTCAAGAATATAAAACATATATCTTTTCTCATTTAGTCAAAACATGTGTACCATTATTAATTAGAAAATATTACAATGATAGTATGAAGGCTTTGGAAATGTCTAAAAGGCAAAAAAGAAAATCAAAATGATATTAAGTTACTGCGTTTAATTTTTTTTTGTTTCAGGTTATGTGGATGGTTCTCTTTCATGTGTGGTATTAAAGAAAAAGAAGTTTTGTTTTTTGTTTTTATTAAAATTTTGTTGATTTAGAAAATTTATTACATTACATTTCATTTTTCAAAAATATTTTGTGGAAAAATAGCCCGGATAAAACCCCTTATGTGCATAGAACTCTTAACTGTGACATATGGTACAAATTATGCACTTAGCCTTAAGTGCCCTATTAAATCAAACCTATGTAGATGAAATTCTATGTGGTTCTGACACCATTAAAGATTTAAATACACTTTATAATCAACTCTGCTAATTTTCATTTGCATAAATGGAATTCAAAAGAATTTCTTCAAAATACGATAGGGAACTCTCAACAAAAAGAATACGAAATAAAGTTAGAAGGAATTTCTAATAAAGTGCTAGGTCTTTCATAAAATTCTGAAAACGATCAATTCTCAATGGCCATTCCAAAATATTCAAAAATTCAATCGGTTTCAAAAAGAGAGATTCTTTTAAAAATAGCTCAAATGTATGATCCTATTGGTTTTATTGAACCCGTAATAAGATATTTAATTGTAAAATAAATACAGTTAAAAATAAAGTAGAGTGTTAAAGTTGATTGGAGGAATCAACGGGGAGTATAAATCAATTTTAAGAACTAAAAGATTTGAATGAGAAACATACGATGAAAACTACATATATCAAAAGATATATTATTATTCAAAAATGAAAACATACTTGTAGTCTGAAAATACTACTGAAGAATGTTTTGATATTTTGTCCGAAACTGAAAAAACAATTTGCAAACACTTCAAAAGGGTGGTTACATTAGGAGAGGGAAGTCGGCCAGTTTCGATTCTTTTTCCTCGAAAGATCCAAAAATATATACAAATAAAGTTAGATACAAGAAATAAAACATTGGTTGCTCCCAATAGCAATCCTTACTTATTTGCATTAACTGGATCCTCAGATAGATGGATTAATGGGTCAAGCATCCTACAAAAATACGCTAAAAATTGTGGCGCCGAGCGTCCTGATAATTTAATGTCTTCCCGCTTAAGGAAACATATAGCTACAATGTTACAAATTTGAAACCTCAACGAAGTAGAAATGGAACAAATGGGGCACACCAAAAAACACATGAACAATTTTATATATTTTAAGTATTTTGTACCATAACTAAATGAAGGCTTTGCATAACCGCATTTATATTTGGCACATACCTGGTTCAGGCAAATTTAACGAAAGTTTTGCAGGCCTTCTGGATCTCAAGCGACCATAGCCAAATTTATTTTTTATTGCAGCCAACTCAATACACCGCTAATAAGAAATAACAATAAGATAAGGAGAAGCGTCGATTTAACAGCAAACTCGAGAGAGTATTTCGTGTAAAATGGAAACAAGAAAGCGTGGTACAATTTACTTAATACAACATGACGACAGTCAGATCGTTGGTGCTAAACTGCCATCAAATGGACAGGCGTTGAAAGTAATTTTTACAATTATAATTTTTTTGGGATAAGGCAAGAATTATCACAAGAAAATTTCAGCACTGTGTGGAAAAGTTGGAGGCGCTTTACAATGAATGGAAAGTTACAAAAATCCAGTAAGTGAGGTGCAAGTTCAGAAAGAGAACACCTTTGTTGAAAAACTTGACGATTTTTTCGACATCGCTCAAGCTTTGGCACTAGAAACGGTAAATCAGGAAGACAGAATTTCTCATAAATTAAAAAAAGAAATGACGAACAGGATCTATGATTGGAAGCGACCGCGTTCTACTGAAAAAGGAGAAAAAATATTTACTACGACAAAAACAAGAACAACTAAGGAAGCAACGGCATAAAAAAATGCAATCATTTTAAGTTATCAATTTATATGGCAGACATTCCGTCAAATATTTATTTTCTATTTCAATTCATGCAGGCAAAATATCTCTCAGAACCATCCAGCGATTTAGAATTAATCAAATTGGCAACGAATCATTTCTCATATGAAGTTAAGAAGGAGAAGATATCGAGGAACATTTGAGAGAATTAGATAGAATTGAAGAACCGTTGGGTCATTCGATATCAGAACGGCAAAGTCGAAAAAATTATCAAAATTTCGACAACAGAGCGAATAGAAATAACCACAACTGGCGTCAGAATGAAAACCGGGGAAACGTATCGCGGAATAGTTAGGTCGGGACAGGACAAGATGGTAAGGTTGAGAGCAGCAATGATCAGCCAGGATCATTGGGGGGAAATTTCCACAATGTTCAACGAGGGTTTTGATGAAATTCTGGATGAAGTTACACCTAATTTAAACGTGATACTTATGATGATTTGACGGTGGAGGGTGTTCAGCGCGTTGACTAGTCGACTCGGGAAGTCAAGTAACGGCAACTAACAAATCGTTTTTTACATGAACTAAGCAAAACTAATAAAAATATCCTCAAACTTCCATCGAAATGTGTGGCTATTTTGGTAGCTTTTTCTCCCTCCAATTAAAAGGATTCAAGTAGATAAGCAAAGTTTGTATCGCGATATATATAGGGAATTCAATGTGTTAGAGAGAGAGGTCCCCTGCCATTGCCATAGCAATGCGATCGAGAGAGATAGATGTGTATATAATCTTACGTGACGTAAGTGGGTGACGTAGGTTAACGTTAAAGAGTAAAAATACGCGTAGTAGCAAAGTCAGAACGGCCTAAGTCCCTATCTTCGTTGCTATTGGTCCGATTTACATGCAACAAACGGCGTTGTGAGGGAGAAGTGGCGTAGATTAACGTTGAAGAGAAAAATCATGCGCAGTATTGACGTAACGTAGTGACTTATGATGTAACGTAGTAATTCAATGCGATCGAAAGAAATAGATGTGGTATCACGAGATCACTTAGAATAAGTTTGCGTAATCATATTTAATTAACAAATATGTTTGAGTTGAAATATTTTTATTATAGTATACGAACGTATATCAACAAGTAATAGGTATTTTAAATAAGAATAAAAAAAATATTATATTTTATGTTTTATTAATTATATAAAGATATTACTTTTGTTAACATGGTTTTTAATTGTTTCAATAAGTTATCATCAGGACATGATATACCAAAAAGATTCCAGCTAAAAGGTCCTGCTTCTATAACTTTTCTTGTATATTCACTGAATTTGTAATAGGAATTTCGGTAGAAAAAATAGATATAACCATCTATATAACGGAATGCGGAACTAACATCTTCAGGAATTCCAGGAAATAGATCCTTTGTTGGTCCACGATTTAGTATATCTCCAGTTTCATTAAATTCAATGTAGGAATTGTTGTTGTACAATAGATATGTCTGTCCGCTGTTTGTTTGAAATAAAGCATTTATAGTTTTAATATTAATTGGAAACTTAAAACTATGTTGTACGTTTAAATTTGGAAAAGATACTGCATACAACATTCGATTATTGATTGTTATCAAGTCTCCAACAGAGTTTTGAAAGATATGTGAAATATTGTATGATTTAAGCTCATTAGGAAGGTAATCTGTAATAAGTTCTGGTGTGAGTGGAATATGCATATCATTTAAATCTAATTTCCACAAAAAGGTGTTATAAGCTATATACAATCGATAGTTAGGAAATGTAGGTGCAGTTGCAATAAACATGACATTAGGTATTTGAATATTACATAAATTTGTAGAGAATTCTTGAATTGTTTTTTTAATACTAGGTATTATCATCGTAGTGGTATGAATAGATTTTAGAGGTTTTTTAGTTGTACTTGATTTTTTAGTTGATGCTGTTGTTGTTTTTGGTGTTGTTTTTACTGTAGCTGTAGACATTTTATTTAGAACATATTCAGGAATTTTAGCATATTTTTCACGTCTTCCATATAAGGATTCAATTCCCATTATGTCATCCTCATGAAGCTGTCTATTTTTTTCTTGGTACCAGGGAAACATAATAGCAATTTTATTACTGCTGTGAGATAATCCGAGAGAATGTCCAATTTCATGAACCATCACCATAAATAGATTAGTTTGATCATCAGGCACTTTATCATCAACTCCAATATACCATGGTTCTTCTCTGTCAATATGAATCTCGATACAGCTATTATTCCTATTAGGAAAATATCCATGTGCTAGCTCTCCTCCCGGACCATCAAAAATAAATTTACATGAGCCGGTTCCTTGACAGTTATAGCGAGTATCGTGAACCCTCTGTGTAATAAGAATCGTAATATCTGGAGGTGGATTAGGTATACGTACATTTTCGAAGGTTAGAGTAGTATTTTGTGTCCATAGTTCAAAAGCCTTTTTAGCTATATCAAGATATATTTTATAATTTTGCGCTTGAGGAAAGTACCACTTTAAATGTTTATTATTCCATTTAGATTTTATAGTAAATGCATTTTCACTAAAAGAACATCTCGGTTTATTTATTAAGAGCATGGTTGGTTTGTTAAGTGTTCCATCAACTGGAAGATTATACATTTCTTGAAATTGTACTAAATCTTTTTCAAAATCGGTAATTGCATTTTTACTATCATTTATATATCCAAAATGCTGTAAATAATCTATAACTTCTTCTTAAGTTGTTATGTTTTTAGCGGATATTAATGATTTGATAATAATAAGTAACAAAGTAAATACGACTGTATTCGTCAACATCTTCTTTAGTAATGAGCAATAAAAGGCCTTAATCTATTATACTTTTCATTAATTCTATTTTTTCCATTTTCATGTAAATAAAAAACCCTCTGTATTTGCCAATGAATTAAAATGATGAAATAAACTGATATTCTTACCATCATATCAACATCCTCTTTTTATGACCTTTCTCAGATTAGATGCAGCTTAATTATAAAAATGATTTGCATATATATTATCTTGTTATTTGACCTTTAAAGATTTCGTCTAACCCAAGCTAATTATCATAAAATATGTATACGGATGTTATCTTGTTTTGGATTTTCCAAATTACTAAAGAATAACAACTATGCTAAATTTATTCATAATTTTATCGTGTTATTTGTGACCTTCTAAGATTCCACCTAACCTAAGCTAATTATAATAAAAAATGTATAAGGATGTTATCTTGTTTTGGTCTTTCCAACTTACTAAAGAATAACAACCATATGCATGATAATTTATTCAAATCTTTTATATATAAACATAGCTAGAATGATACGAGTTCACTTTTGAATTTACTTCGTTAGAGTAAGTTTAGGTGATTGCAGTACAATAAAAGTTTTGAATTTACTTCGTTAGAGTGACTTTAGGTGATTGCAGTACAATAAAAGTAAGTTGTTATTATTATACATATTATTAAAATTGTTTTTTTATATACAAATTTAATTTACATATAAGAAACTAAGTTAAACCAATCTTTGTCGTATGATTGAGAAAGGGAGCACTATAGAAGTGATTTTATCAACCAAATTAGTGTTCTCTAGCTTTGATACATAAACCTATGTTTCTACAACATTTCTTCTTAAACATATGGTAAAGATTAGGTTACTTCATTTTCCTATAGGTAGAAAATTAAAATTTTGAACTCAGTATGAGATTATATGTTTCAAATCTACCTCCAAACAATTTTTTTTACCTTTAAAGGTTTTTGTTGAATATATTTCACATTCTATTAATTAAATATCATTTTACCGTTTTATTTTTATACTTTTATCATACAATAAGTTTTTTCTTTTTTAATTGTAGATGGAATTTAAAAACATTAATTCCATAGGTCTTTCGGAAGACGACAAACCAATCAAAAAATTAAGTGATCTACCGATAAATGAGCCGCAAACAATCAAAAAGGCAAAAATTGTCAAGACCGTGTACGGGGAAAGCGTGCTGATAGAGTTAGAGGAGTCTAAGGTTTTCCTGCCTACAAGAGTCACAACAAGTTTTACCAAGAGTGCCTTAAAAGAACTACAAACAGGGACCTACAAAGTGGTCTTTAAGGGGACAAAAGACATCGGAAAAGAGCATCCTCTAAGCAAGTTTGAAATTGTGAAAAATTAATACAGAGAAAGTAAGTAGATATTTTTGTTAAATCACCCACTACACTAAAATAAAAAATGATTGTTTCCAAAATTATTAAAAATTCAGAAAACTTTTTATTAACAATTAAAAAACTAAGAAAAATTTTATTAGATACATGTACTGCTAGAGATGTAAAAATTTGGTTAAAACGCTTAAATAAACAAATAAGAGTTTGTAGTAATGTAATTCGCAAACGAAATAATTTATCAATAGGTACTTTAAGAAAACTGCAAACTAATGTTGGACACTTTAAACATTTAAAAAAATTAATTTTAACTAGACATATAGGAATGGGGTTAAACTCAAAATTAAAATATACAGTTAAATGGGAAAACATAGCATCATCTTTTTCACGTCGAATTAAAACAGAAGTAATAATTAATTTGCGTCATAAGGACTTGAAGACTTTTTTCAGTGATTGTATAATTATGTTCAAAAATAAAATTAATAATTTTCTGTACTTAAAGTAAATACAACATTTTGTGGAGAATTTATAAAAAAGTCTAAAGATAATGAAATTTTGGATCTTAAATATTTTAATACGAAAAATGCTATTATAGACACAACAACTGATATACGATGTTGGTTTGCAGAAAATGTATATGATAAAATTTTAAATAAATTGTCTGAATTCCAAGAAAAAGATTCAGGATATGCATTAAACAAAGTTATTTCATTAGAAGTTAATATTAATAAATTTGAAATGGGTAATGGTTCATCTTTCATTAAACTGCCTAAACAAATTTTAAAAAAACGGGCTTGCATTAACATTAAAAATTCTGACCACGCCTGTTTTTATTGGGCTATTGTTAGTGCTCTTTATCCTGCTCATACTAATTTAAATTCAACTTATTCATATCCACATTATAGTTCTGTACTACATACAGAAAACTTGAACGCACCCATGACATTACATCAAATTTCCAAATTTGAAAAAAATAATGATATTTCTGTTAATGTTTATGCACTAGAATTAAATGTAATTAAAGAAAAATCATTTTACACGGTAGTACCTGCTCGGTTAACGAAACTTAAGCATGAAAAACATGTAAATTTATTGTTAATTCAGAATAAATATTTTCCGAAATTAAATGATTATGAGGCTCCACCTATGGATGATGATGCTGATAATAGTGAAATAACATATCATTACTGCTGGATTAAAGACTTGTCACGATTAGTTAGTAAACAATTAAGTAAAAATACAAACAAAAAATTTATTTGTGATAGAAGTTTAAATTATTATTCAAGTGAAAATAGGTTAACCGAACATGAAAAATTATGTTCTAATTTAAATAATTATAAAATGAGT